ACAATGTGGGTGCTAGGAACACAACCTGAATTCTCTGGAAGATTAAAAAAAGCTTGATTCTTTTAGATTGTCTGCCTTTTTCTTGTTAGGGTAAGATTCCCCCCCCCCCAGCTCCCAGTGTCCTAGGCCCATTGTATAATCTGCCGGCCTGGAGACCAGGCAGATCAGCTCAGAGTGATTTTGTGGCAAGGAAGACCTCCATGTTGTTCAGGTCTGTTTTTAGTAAAATTTCATGCTTTGGTTCCTCATGTGCCTGGGTAACTGAGCATTAGCCACAGCTAGAGCTTTTAATGCAGTCCCTGTTGTGTGTGACGGGTGGGTGGAGCCCATGGTAGCACCTGACAGGGAGGTGACAGAAGAAGCAGAAACCCAGGCACTTATCCTGTGAACATACTGTGAGAGCCTAGAATCTTCCTCCAGGTGTGAGAAGGGTCACCTACAAGTCCCAAGGGAAATTTCCATGAAGTTAAATAGATTATGTCTTTGGAGATTCATCTTTCTTGTGGTTTTGGTATTAAAATATTTGTAAAAGTAAATGGCATAGTGTGGAGCTGTACTTGTGGGCTGGTCTTTGTTGGGAGTTTGCTTATGATACACTGGAAGTACTAGTTTCTTTTTTCCCCCGCTGTGGACAAATACCTGACAGAAGCAAGTTACGGAAGGAGGGTTTGCTTTGGCTCACAGTTCGAGAGGATACAGTCCATCATGCCAGGTAGGTGAGGTGGCAGAGCCTGAGATGGCTGGTCATACTGTGTCTGCAAGTCAGAAAGTGGGAAGAGACAGATGTCATCATCCCACTCAGTTCTCCTTTTTGTTCAGTCTGGGCCCCCAACCTGTGGGATGCTGCTACCCACATTCAGGGTGTTAAACCTTTGAAAACACCAAAGGTGTGTCCCCTGGTGACCCCAAGAACAAGGATCACACCGGAGAACCACCAAAGCCGTAGGATTCTTTGATGTAAACAGGTGTGATCTCTCCTCTTTAGCACTGCTGTGGTCACTCTGCCCTCCTCATTACTCAGGGCTCTGCTGCTTTGAGTGTCACTTTTCACCCTGGCCCGCTGCTTTCCCGGCTCTGCTTCTATGCCTGTTCTCCAGGCTTCGCAGGAATGCTGGAGTGCAGGTGAGTGACCCAAGGGCTGTAGGGGTGGGCCCATGGCCCTTTGCTGCATTGCAGACACTCAGGAGGTTTTGTCACAGGAATTTCATTGCACCTGTAGGTTGGGCCCTTTGAGGCATGAAGTACTTGTGGAGGGCCTCTGTTCTCTCTGGGCAGGCATTCCAGGACAGACGGGAGCAGTGATGCAGAAACTTTTAGACTCAGGGCAGCCAGTGGTCTCCACAGAAACATTAAAGAAAACTTGGACATGGAAGTCCAGTTGCAGCCAGTATGACCTGTCACCTGTCATCTGTCACAGGCTGCCTGACCCCCAGGAAGTTTGTGCTTTGAGTTTACATCCCAGCCGGTGGACTTTGAGCAAGATCCATAATCTGCCAGGGTGATATTTCCGGAGAGAACACTTAGCATGAGTGTCCTCTGTCTGAAAATAATAAAATAATCCCTACTGTGATGGACCCTCAAGGATTTAGTGAGGTGATGTTCAATCAGGGCCTGCAGTGGTGGCAGATAAACGGCAGAGACCAGCCTGGTCAGCCTTCAGTGCTGGGATGCTGGCATTTTGTTCTTTTGAGACAGGATGGCCTAGGCAGTGGCTTGAAGTTCACTGTGTAGCCCAGCTGGCCTCACACTTGTGATCCTCCTGTCTCAGCTTCCCAAGTTCTGCGGTTACAGATGCCATGCTCAGCTTCCAAAAATCCCAGATTCTTTTTTAGTTTTTTCCCTTTTGTTTTCTTACTATATTTTTTCTTTTTTATTAAAATTTTTATTTATTACTATTGAGTGTGTGTGTACACACTAGTTCATGTGTCCCATGTGCACTAGCATGTGAATGGAGATTACAGGACGACTTCTGGCCAGTCGGCTCTCTCCTTCCACCATGGGGTTAGGATTGAACTCAGCAAGCACTTGTCCTCACTAAGCCATCGGCCCACCACCTCCATCTCCATATGTAGCCCAGGCTACCCTGGAGTTCACAAGCTCTTGCCTTAGCATCCAAGTGCTGGGATTGTATTTCTTTCTTGTTTCCTTTGTTGTGATATGAAGACAGCCCCTATGAACTCATGGTATCCATGGGAACACATTTCTCTCCTAAAGCCAGTGCTCTATCTCAGAGCACTATGGTTCCAGTCCTTGCTGCTCCCTTGGATCTGCTCAGCGTTGGCTCAGAGAGAGACTGCTAAAGTTGGCATTCACCCTCCCTCCCCCATCATTCAGTGTTTCCAGAAGCCCAGTTGAGCACTGGCAGCTTCTACGCTGCTCTGCAGAAGCACTCAGAATTTCCATTCCCTCCTTCCCGGGCAGCAGGCAACACCAGTCTGGCTGTCCCCATAAAGATGCCTGCTGTCGGGACAGGAAGCCTGTAACCTTCTCTCAGTAGTCTTTTCTGATGGAGCCATGGGGACTCGGTGTCCAGGGGAAGAGTGTGTCTGGAAGGAGTGGGCACAGGGCTGAGAATATTTTTCAAGGCTTGCTGGTGACTTCAGATGAGTTTGGTCATTAGCTCCATTTTACAGATAAGGAGGTAGAGGCACTAGCTGGTCAGTGGTGGAGCTAAGGCCTCTCTGGCTTCTCATTCCTCACCAGTGACAGAACTGCCTGAGCCTGGGGATCACTGTGGTAGGCCCAAGCTTTCTTGGCAAGGCTAGTGGACTTCTGAAGTGTTTCCTTTCAGAATGAGCTTTCTGGGTAGGCATTGAGATCGGAAGTACTTGATCCCTGGAAGGACTGGAAGAGTCCTGGTCCTGAAAGTCACGTTGCCCAGCAGACGTGTCAACAGTGGGTATGTGGGCGCAGCACTGATTTTCTCAAGAATGTCCCTCAGGCTCATGTTGCACAGTCAAGTTCTTGGGCCACCCGATGCAGCATTTTCCAAGTTCCCATCAATATGTCCTTGTGAGTTTGTGGCTTATGAGGTCAGGGTTCTTTCCTAAAAAAGAAAAATATTCAGTAGACCTACAACTGTGGAGACTCCAGGGGACTGAACTAGGCCCACCGAATGTGGGAGACAGTTGTGAACCTTGGACTAGCTGAGAGGCCACATTACAAACCTGGTACATGAGCTGGCTTGCTGCAGCCTACCCGCTATGGTGCAATGCTGTGCTCAGCCTTAATGCATGGGAGAGGGGCCTGGCCCCACCCCAACCTACTGTGCCAGACTGTGTTGACTCTTTATGGGAGACTTACCTGTGAGGAGGAGTGGACTGGAGGTGAGCTGGGGGGGTAGGAGGGGGTGGGTGGGAGGAGGTATGGGAGGGAGAAGTGTGGTTGGAATGTAAAATAAAATTTAAAAAATGGCAAAAAGAAAAGAAAAGAAAAACATTCAGGTAGGTTCCACATGCTGAATTGCCCTTGCCTTTCTCCTTTGTCATTTGCAAATCCTCTCCTGGGTCCATTCTCTTTGAGGACTGTGATACAGTCCAGGTGAGCATGTCCAGGCCAGATCATCTTCCAGGGCCAGGTGGTTGTGGATTAGTCTAAGAGGGAAGACACTGAGGGGAGATTAAACAGCCAGCTGCTGATTGTGGGTCCACAGGCATCCCAGTACTGTCAGGGCTGGGCAGTATCCTAGGTGAGTCCCAGTGTATCCTTCACTACCCATGGCTCTGGGAGGTGGCCAGCTTCTGGGTAGAATAGGCTTGGCTCTGGTGTGTAGACGGGTCGCAAGCCTCAACCCTAGTGGTATCCTGGGTTTGTGGGGTAAGGAGTGATGAGTACAAGCAAGATGCAAGAGGGGGCAACAGATCCATGGACAGGCCTGTGAAGAGGCCAGCATTGATTCATCTGCCTGTGTTCTAGCCCTTGTTCTAAGATAAGGCCGCTAGGGGAACAGAGTGGGAAGAAGGAGGCCCAGGTATGTAGGAGCAGAGGAGTTCCTGATGGGAACTTTTAGCAGAGGGAGAAGTATAGGTGAAAACACCCCCTGGAGAGGAAATTGTGGTGGGAGTGCCAGGGCGCAGAGGCAAGAGAAGGGCATGGAAGGAGGTGGAGTGGATGGACAGAGCCTGAGGGTGACATGGTACATCTGGAATGTCCATTAGACATTTGTAGGTCACCAAAACTTGGGGGTGGCCCAGAGCCTGAGCTAGCACTAGCACACAGTGAGGCCACAGGCATTGGAACTGTGACTGACCTGCCACCAGCATCCATGCTCAGGGAACCCTCCTGCTCAACACATGCAGGCTGCTACCTGGGGCAGGAGAAGCCTGCATCTGAGTATAGGGGGCTCGGTGACCCTTCAAGTCATAAAAACCCAAGTGCCCCATTCCTGGAGTCCTGTCTGAAACCAGCCAGCTGTGCCTGACCTGTGGCTCTTGCCAGCCATCTGGGTAGAACAGTCAGTCACACAGAGATCTTTGTTTTTCCAGGGGATCTGGGGCAGGGCAAGATCTGGAACATCCCCTTTCATTTCTGGGCCACAGCTGCTAGGCCCTTAGGAAGGTGTTAGTGAAGTCTGGGGCAGCCGGTGTTGGGAGGGTGGGAGAAGGGGTGACTTGAGGGCCGTGTAGTCTTTATGTCTCTGGCTCCTCCAAGATGCGCCCTGGATGGTACCAGAGAATGAAGAGTTGGGAGATGGACCAGCCTCCCTGAGGACCTCTGGGAGAACTCTGAGGGCACTCGGGGGGTCCACCTGCCCCGTTGCCCAGACCCCAATTAATCTAGACTGCCAGGTACTCAACTCTACTTCTCAGTCTCTGCTGTGGAAGACGGACATGTGAATCTGCTGGAAGGGCGTGTCCTCTTTCCCTGCTGTTCCCCGCTGACATGCTGAGGCCATTTCCTCTGGCTTCCTGGCTTCTCAGATAATCTGTCTTTGAAAATGATCCTCTCTCCTTGTTTCCTCCATACTAAATAGACTGAGGGACTGTGCTTTCTGTCTTTAGCCAGAAATGAATTTGCCTGTCCCACCAGGCAAAGACAAGAGCCTGGAGTCGGTGCAAGAGCAGTCTCAAGAGCGCGTCAGTATGCCCCAGACACTGACCAGCACACTGGAGCACATCGTGGGCCAGCTGGACGTCCTCACACAGGTAGGGCCTGATGGGAACACAAGTGCGCGCGCGCGCGCGCGCGCGCGCGCGCGCGCGCACGCCCATCTGCATTGTTCTAGCGTTTGAACCATTTGATGTTGGTTGGCAGATACTGAGATTTGTTTTAATGAGCCAGGGTCACTTTGTGTAGTCTAGGGTGACCTTGAACTGGAAATTCCCTTACCCCAGCCTCCTGCACACAGAGGTGTACAGAGGTGTATTACAGAGGTGTGGGGGGGAGGGTTAAAAATAGAAGCGCATATCACAGTGCCTTTGTGTTCCTCGTTGTCGACTCACTGAGTCTTTCACTGGATGAAAGGCATGGTGGCTGTCTTGCTTACATTCTGTTACTGTAATGAAACGCCATGACCAAAGACAACTTGTGGGGATGGACTTATTTGGCTTATACTTTCACATTATGGTTCATCACTGAAGGAAGTCAGCACAGGAACACAAGCAGGACAGGAACCTGGAGGCAGGAGCTAATACCATGAAGGGGTGCTACTTACTGGCTTCTTCCCCATAGCTTGTTCAGCCTGCTTTCTTATAGAATCCAGGACCACCAGCTCAGGGGTGGCCCCACCCACAATGGCCTGGGCCCTCCCCCATCAAATATTAATTTTTTTAAAAAATGCCCTACAGCTTGCCTGCTGCCTGATCTTAAGGAAGCATTTTCTTTTAGTTTGCAAGACAGTATTTCTCTGTGTAGCCCTAGCTGTCCTAGAACTCACTCTGTTGACCAGGCTGGACTTGAACTCAGAGATCTGCCTGCCTCTGCCTCCCGAGTGCTGAGATTAAAGGCATGCGCCACCACCACCAGACTGGAAGCATTTTCTTAATGGAGGTTCCCTCAGGTGAGTCTAGTGTGTGTCAAGTTGACATAAAACTAGTCAGCATAGAGGCTGACACCTTTGATTTTAGCCCTGGGGAAGCAGAGGGAGATGGGAGTCCGTGAGTTCAAGACCAGCTTGATCTATATAGGATGTTCCAGGCTGGTCAAGGCTGCATAGGGTGAGACTCTGCCTTTTAAAATAGTGTTTCTGTGTGTGTGTGTGTGTGTGTGTGTGTGTGTGTGTGTGTGAAGGGGGGAAGAGAAGAAAGAGGTAGAGAATGGACCTGTTTTCCAATCTACATTAATGAAATATCAGTGTCTTCCCTGGGATCATGGCTGTTGGACCTATGTAAGCTGCAGCTACCAGACTCCAAAGTAACTACACAGGTTTCTGCTAGAGTTTGTCCACCCTGGTATGGCTGCTTTGAGAGAAATACTGTCCATTCATCCCATTCTCACCTGCCAGAGAGCTGGGAGCAGTGAGTTGGATTTTCTGCAGCCCTGGGTTTAGACTCAGTGTCATTTTTTTTTTTATTTCCCTGGTGTCCTTGGAAAAAACCCTTTAGTTCTCTAAACTCTGGTGTCTTGACCTGTAATGCACAGGTGGTCTGGGTGCTTGCCTCCGTGTTTGTGGTAAGGATTAGCAGATTTGAATCTCTGCAAAGTCTGGCTCATGCCTGGGTCTAGGTATCTGCTGAGTAAGTGTTTACTGTGGTCCTGCCCATGACCTTCATCAGTGCGGTAAATGTGGGTCCTTCTCTCCAGAACTTTACTTACAATGGCAGCTTTGGTATGAACAAAATACCCTGACAAGAGGTGGCAGCTGCCCTGGAGTATGCCCAGAGGCGCATCACATCTGAGGGAGGCCCTGACAGAAGAGCAACCTTCCTATGGTCTGGAGGGACCACGCAAATCCCACGGTAGCTGACATGTGGCTCATTGGGCAAGACGGTGCTGAAAGATCTTCTGTCCTCCTGGTGCCTTGGCTTTAGCTACTTGGCAGGGACTCCGCAGACACCTATATCCCATGCTGACTTGGAGTTAGTGAGGCTGTGGGAGGTCACATGATCTACTTGGTAGGGTTGTAAAAGCAGGGAGAGGAGAGAGCAGTCCTAGTTCAGTCCTATAGAAGAATGCGGAGGACAGCTAATAGCAGTCTGGTAGCCTTTCCCTGACCCTGGACCTCGGGCTAAGTGAGAAAAGCCACTCCACATTGTGTCACGTCATTGGTGTGATCTCAACCTTGGGCCTACAGATGGAAGCACCCAAGGATGAGGAGGGAGTCAGGGTTGTGGGACTGCAGAGCACAGTGTGTGCATACATGCTGGAAAACCTGCTAACTTTGAGAAGAAAGCCTGCTCTGAAGAGATGTGAGCAAATGCAAAGTCTTTAAGATGAAAAACCCGGGGCTGGAGAGATAGCTCAGAGGTTAAGAGTACTGACTGCTCTTCCAGAGGTCCTGAGTTCGATTCCCAGCAACCACATTGTGGCTCACAACCATCCCTTATGAGATCTGGTGCCCTAAAAAAAAAAAAAAAACAAAAAAAAAAAAAAAAAAAAGATGAAAAATCCACTTCAAGCCTGACGGAGAGCACCTTACGCTCATCACAGCCTCAAGTGAGAGGCCAGGGAAGATGGAGTCATTAGGACTTCACAGGGTAAAACTGGAAATTAAGTCTGAGAGGTGGCTAAAAATACAGGAACACAGCAGTGAAAACACTTGCTGCTGCTGCTTTAGGGGTGCCCGTGGAAGACTGTGTGTTGTGTGAGCAGTCAGGAGTATGATAGTAGCTTTGTAAGAAACTCGTAGCACAGAGCAGAAGCGGCCTACAGCCGGGTGTTTGGCTGCCCCATGACACCCTTATTCTACCTGACAGTGTTTGGTCTCTTTGCACATCCATGGTGGTCTTATCTTCTGTTCCTTGGTGCACAAAGTGAAAAGTGTTCCCTTGGACCCAGCATGTCCTGAGGAAGCTTGGGTTCCATGTAGCTCCACATAAGGCCATAGACTCAGCCCACTTTTGTACAAAGTACATTGGGTTACTGCAAATGCTCTTTGGAGGCTCGGTCATCAGTTGTCCACACTGAACCAGCCCTCTCCTGAGGCCTAAAGCCAGGTGGCCACGGCCACCTCTCCTTTCAAGTGGCTTGTTCAGCCAGACTCCCTGTCTAGTCTGTGAGTTCTGGCCTGGGGTCTACCCCCTCAGCAACTGTTCCTCACTGTGTGCTTAGTCCTAAAGCCCTCTGTACCCTGGCCACCTCAGCACTGACTTCTGCACTGCTGCTGCCTGCCCAGGTAGGACCCTAGTTCTTAACGCTGAACTCTTAGTCCACACTGGCAATCCTAGCACTTGGAATGCTGAGGCAGGAGGATCAACAATGTAAGGCCAGCCTGGTCTGATAACCCAAATGGTTTCTAAAAATACCAGAAAATATACATAAACAAAAACCTACTTTCTTATTCAACAGTCTGGGTGTGTGGATGTACAGCTCAATGGGGCAAGACCTCCTCTGTGGATGTTTGTAGTCTGTTTGCCACCAGTCTGAGAGACAGATAGAAAAATCTCAGCCCTCTCTAGCAGTCCTTCTAGAAAAAAAAAAAGTCCTGAAGTCGGGAAACTAAGCAGTCCCCTTGAGGCCCGTGTGTGTCTGACTTCCTTGCAACCTAAGCCTCCCGTGCCTTGATCTCCAAGCCTGGAATGAGTCCTGTCACCAGCAGCCACTCTCCAGGCCTCTAGGGATACAGAATGTGTCCACCTGTGGAGCTCACCTAGCATGCCCAGCAGTGCTGTGTGTTCCTGTGTGTTAGAAGCCTCCCCTGTCGTGTTAGCTGCTGCCACTGCTACTGCCCAAGGCTTGCTGGGGACAGAGCCAGCAAGACAGTACCACAAGCCCTCCCCTCTGCCTAAGGGAGCCATCTCTCAGCCCTTACAATAGAAGTGATGGTTCTCTATGCCCACACATTCACTGAGCCCATTCTGTGTTTGCTCCTATGTGAATCCCAGTCCCATTCCTGAGATGTCTCCTTGACTGAATTTGATGCCAGGCCAGGCTTTAAGAGGGAACAGGCAACTGGGCCCATTAAGAAAGCTAGGAGTGATTCATAAGGAGCCCAGCCAGCCAAGGCATGGAGGCCTCGGGTCCTCTGGTAGGAGTTATGGAAGCAGCAGCCCAGGAATGACCGTCCGGACACTGAACAGCAAGCTGGAGCCTAATGCAGCAGAAGCCCGAGGGATGTGGGCGGGCGTGAGATAGGAAACAACAGAGAGAGCCAGGACTTAAGCAAGAGGCAGAGCTATCATAGGCTGGCTCCTGGGAGGCAGCTTCCTAAAACCTTGGAGCTAGATTTCACTGCAGGTCAAGGAAGTGGGTGGTGAGAGCAGCAAAACTGTGAGGCATCTAGTCTCCTTAGGAAGCAAGTTGGGCCCCTGGGACTAAGAGGCCTGGCAGGTCTATTAGAATTCTAACTGCCCTTGGGGTTTGTACAGCATCAGAAATCAGTTCTTTAAAACACACACACACACACACACACAAGCGAGCACATGTGTACACACATTGGGATGTTCTGGGTTTACCTTTTAGAGACTCCCATGTTTATAAAGTATATGCATTGTTTGCATTACTTTTCAAAAATGTACTTATGAGCCAGATATAGTGGTGCATGCTTTTAATCCCAGCACTCAGGAGGCAGAGGCAGGCAGATCTCTGAGTTCAAGGCCAACCTGTTCTCCAGAGAGAGTTCCAGGACAGCCAGGGCTACACAGAGAAACCCTGTCTTAGAAAAGGGGCAGGGGTTTGGTGGGGAGGGAAAGGCATTTATAAGAGAAATGTTACTTTTGAAATGACCTTACAATGTATGGGCCCTTTGCTTTGTCTCCTGCTGTCTGTAATCCCAATAGGTCAGGTTGGCCTGACCTTTCAGGTCTCCTCCAATTGTCTTAGATGGAACGTCCCCGTGAGCATCCTCCTGATGCTTAGCTGAGGCCTCAGCTCTTCAGGGCTCCTCGCTTGATCTCACTGTGGGGTTTCCCAGCACTTAGCATCTTACCAGGTACTGTTAAGGCTGTTGTACCTGGATCCACCCTGGGGTCTACCCAGCTTGTGGCTTCAGCAAGAAGCAAGTGGTCCTGATCTTAGTGTAGGCAGAGCATCCCTTGTTAAACAGTTT